ACGTGCTGCCTCGGTGGTGGTGAGGGCAGGGGAGATGGTGGGGTGCCCCCAGCGTCCGGTGCCCTCACGGTGGGTGTTTCAGGGCCCTGCTCGGCTCTGTCTGAGACCGCTGCAGCGGGCCCGGGGCGTGCAAGGGGGCAGGGGGTGCAACCCTTCCCCTTGCACACGCATCCTCTATGCTGCCCGTTCACGCCCCACAGCTTGGCATTGCCAGGGTGGAGCATGCCTGTGGTTTGCCATGGGCAGGGGGACACCGTGCCCCTCCTGGGCCCCTGCAGCCGCGCCAGCTGCCAGGAAGGGCAGTCGTGCCGTGCCGATCTTGGCTGCACCCTGGAATTGCCCCCATCTAATGCCCCCCATCATGCACGGAGCGGGGGGGGTCATGGCTGCAACGCAGCTCGGAGCAGACGCGTCCGAGCGCTCCCCTTCCCCAGCTCCGAGCCCTTCCTTGCCCGCTTGGCCCCCAGGGCACAGGTCAGCTGCGCGACCCTGGCCCGGGAGCGGGGCGAGCGGCTCAGCGCCATGGAGCGCCCCGCACAGGGCAGGAGCACGCCGGAGCGGACAGGCCCTTTGCTCCCTTAGGAAGCCTTCCCCGGGCAGCTCTCGCACGCAGGTCGCTGCAGAGTGCATGCAGTCCCTGCCCAAGGCTTGGGCCGGCAGGGCTGGACTCTTCTAGTTGCAGACTTGAGGCGCGGTGGCAAGAGGCTGCCCGCTAGAGAGGGGACACGAGCTGGGCCAGGTCTCCAGCTGCCTGCTGGGAGCGTGCGAACAAGAGCCCTGGTGCTGCGCAGCTCTGCAGGCCAGGAGCCCTCCAGTGGGCACAGCCTCCAGGGCTGGCCGTGCCCCTGCCCAAGCCCCAGGACCCCTTGCAGCCTGCGGACACCTCTGAAGGCTTCGCCCGGGTTGGGAAGCAGCCGGCTATGGCTCCCCGTGGCTCCAGCAGCGACACCTCTGATGCACTGGTCAGCTCCCTCCTCACCACCCCAGGGAGCTTCTTTTATCGCCTCTGCAGCTGCCAAAGGCTACGGGCAGGCTGCACCTTCACGGCCTGCTGGGTGGGCACGAGGGCAGCCGGGCGGCCCCTGGCTCAGGCCCGGGCGGCTGCTCCTGCCGGGCCTTTCCCTGCGCTGGTTTTCCCTTGCGCGCTCGCGGCCCCTGCGCTGCCAGCCGGGATTGCTTAGCAACCGCGCAGCTGCCTGCGAGGGTGCATGGCCCCGGGCAGGGATCTCGGGGCCTGGGCTTTGCCAGGTGGCTCCCACCCAAGTGCCGCCGCTCGGCCCCGGGCAGCTGGTGCTGGCTGCCGCACCACGGCTCTGCGCCAGCTGGGGCTGCTGCCATGTTCCTGCTGCAGGCAGTCGAGCCGTCCACGAATGCTCAGGGCGGAGAACGGAGCCAGGTGCCAGGGAGGTACAGCCTCTCCTCCTCCTGCGGGACACGGGCTCTGGAAGTTGCTCCCAGCCCCTGCCTGGAGCCTGCCCCCTCGGTGACTGAGGGAGAAAGGCCCTTCCCTCCCTGCAGCGCGAGGATGTATTTAATCACTGGACGCAGGTGTCGCGGTGGACGTAGTCTTTCTGGACTTCAGGAAGGTCTTCGATGCTGTCTCCCACCCCATTCTCATTAAAAAGCTAGATGACTGTGGCATCGATGCCGACACGGTCAGATGGGTCGCAAATTGGATAGGGAGGGTTGCACCCAGAGTGGTGGTGGATGGGTCTTACTCGACCTGGAGGGACGCGGGCAGTGGAGTCCCCCAGGGCTCAGTCCTCGGGCCCGCACTGCTCAATCTCTTCATTAGCAACTTGGACGAGGGGGTGAAGAGCAGCCGGCTCGAGTCTGCTGACGACACCAAGATTTGGGGCGAGGTGGGCACGAGAGAAGGGAGGGACAGGATACAGCTGGACTTGCACAGGTTACAGGGGTGGGCGCATGAGAACAGGATGGGATTCAATACTGACAAATGCAGGGTACAGCACTTGGGCAGGAAGAACCAGCAGCAGACCTACAGGCTGGGGAACTCCCTTCTGGAAAGCACAGAGGCAGAGAGACCTTGGTGTCATTATCCACTCCAAATTGAACATGGGCCGCCAACGCGAGGATGCGGTCAGGAAGGCCAACTGCATTTTGTCGTGCATCCACAGATGCATCACGAGCAGGTCCCGGGACTATGCGACACTGGTCAGGCCGCAGCTGGAGTACTGCGTCCAGTTCTGGGCGCCACATTTCAGGAGGGACGTGGACAGCACGGAGAGGGTCCAGAGGAGAGGCTACGGGACCTGAACCTGCTCAGCCTCCACAAGAGAAGGCTGAGGGGGGATCTAGTGGCTGTTTACAAACTGGTCAGAGGGGACCAGCAGGGTCCGGGAGAGTCCCTGTTCCCCTGAGCACCTCCCGGAGTAACAAGCAATAACGGCCACAAGTTGACGGAAAGCAGGTTCAGGCTAGACATCAGGAGACACCACTTCACTGTCAGGGCGGCCAGGATCTGGAATCAGCTTCCAAGGGAAGTGGTGCTGGCTCATAACTTAGGGGTCTTTAAAAGGCTTGATAACTACCTAGCTGGGGTCATTTGAGTTTAAACTTAGTAGGGGTCATATGAGCCCTGTATTCATTCCTGCCCTAGATGATCTGCTCAGGTCCCCTCCGATCCTACATCTATGAACCTATGAACCCAGTCCAACCGTCTTTGCCTTGCAGGTCTACACCAACCCTGGAGGACAGGTTCAGACAGGTTAACAGCCCCAGCCAGGGCCGGGGCCTCCGTTCCCTCACCGCAGTCAAGGGTCAAATGCTTTCCATGCCGTGAGCAGGCACCAAGCCTTGGCAGTGCCCGAGGCTCCTGGAGCCCCGGTTCACGAGACCTCTTTCCCCTCCATTCTGCATGGGGCAGGCCACATCTGAGTCCTGTGTCCAGTTGTGGGGCCCCCTACACCTGAAAGGACGTGGACACGTTGGAGAGAGGCCAACAGAGGACAACGAAAATGCTTGGGGGCTGGGGGACACGACTGGTGAGCAAAGGGAGATTGAATAGCAGACTTCAACTGCCTGCAGGGGGTTGAAGAGGGTGGAGCTGGGCTGTTCTCAGTGGGGGGGGAAGGTGACAGAACAAGGAGCCGTGGGCTCAAGCTGCAGCAAGGGAAAGTTGAGGTTGGATATTAGGAAAAACTCTCACCAGGAGGGTAGTAAAGCACTGGAACAGGCTCCCCAGAGAGGTGGTGGACTCTCCATCCTTGGAGGTGTTGAAGACCCGGCTAGACAAAGCCTTGGCTGGGATGATGCAGTTGGGGTTGGTCCTGCTCGGAGCAGGGGCTGGACTAGATGTGACCTCCCGAGGTCCCGTCCCACCCGCGTGTTCTAACTGTGTTTCTGGTCTTGAGCTATAAAGGTTGGTCCAGCCGACTGGCCTGGCCCAGTGCCCCCGACAATGATTTGAACAATGCAGGGATCACTGACATGATTCCCCCCACGATACAGAGTCTGACTCTCAGGGCAGCCCGGAGCTGGGGTTGTTCAAAGCCCGTCAAGAAGTGAAGGCGCTTGGGACCCGCTGCAGCTTTCCCTTTGTCAAAGGCCCTGAACAGGGTCAGCGCAAGCCCTGGGACCCAGCTCAGCAAGGCTGATGCATCCCCAGCTCCAAGCTCCCTTTCCCCTGCCCTGGAGGAGTGTGTGGCTGATGTGGCAGGAGAGAGCAAGGGGCCGGGTGAAGCTGGAACCACCTTGCCCACAGCTCGTTAAAGCAGGAGGCTTCAGCTGGGGGCGAGGAGAGAAGCAGCCCTCGCGAAAGACCTGCACCGACACGTCTCGTTTCCAGACTGTTTAATGTCGCACACTGCAGTACACAGACCTTGGACAGCGCACGTCCCGCACACCCTGCCGCTCGCACCACGGAGGCCTCCTGCCGCCAGGCCTCAGACGTACCACTGAAAGCCGTGCAAGGCATTCTCCAGCTCCGCCTTCGGCCGGAGGTAATAGAGCTCAGGTATGGACGGGGTCACCCAGCGGTCAGTGTGGTACACGGTCTCGCCCACCTGCGGAGAGAGAGAAAGCGCGTTACCGCGGCCCGAGAGCCCCTCAAACGCTGCCACCAACACCAGAGCCGAGGGGAGCCCGCTGCCCGCTTTGCCTTGGGCCAGGCTCAAGTGGCTGCCCCCGCCCTTCACTGGCAGCGGCAGCAGAGACCGGCTGCCCCGTGCAGGCGGGGCAACTCTCCCCCACGCGGCTGCAGCTCCGACATGGAGACCCCAAAACATGTCAGCGCCCCCCTTGCAGGCATGGCCACGCAGATTGCTCGTGGCACCCCTCTGGGGTCAGAGCTCGCGGCTCCTGCTCCCCGGGAAACGCAGCTCTCCCAGGACCCCGCTCCCATGCAGCGAGCTGGGGCTCAGATGCCCCTTGCGACCGGCTGGCTCCTGGCACCCCCTCCAACACGGGCGGCTGGAGCCTGCTGGAAAAGTTCGGAGCAAACTACAGCAGATGCAGGCTGCAGGGGCCTTTCAGGGCGCTCCCAACGCGCACGGGGATTGCAGCAGCAGCTCTTGCATCTGGCTGCGGACCCCGCTCCCTCCCTCCCTCCCCGAGCTGCCACCCGAGGCACCGACCTTCCAGCCGGGAACGTCTTTCATGATGATGGCCTCCTCTTCCAGGTTCTCTCGCAAGAGCCGCAGGGTCCTGAAACAGAAGCCGACCTAGAGCTTGCGACCGCGGCAGCCATCCGCAAGCCAGGCTCTGCCGCGCCGCGCCCGCGCAGACGGCCAGACCAAGCCACGCGCAGGGTCCCTCTGGCAGCAAGGCCGTTGCACCAGAGGTCACGGGGCACGGTGAAAAAGCGTGCATCGGCACGGCTGGTCAGACGCCCATCGGGCACGAGACCCTGCACGAGCTTTTAGCCTCGTCTCTACTGACAGAGCCTGAAGGAGCGCGGGCGGGCGCCGCGGTCAGGCAGCCCCGGGAGTCGACCCTTGGGTCCGTTCTTGGCCGAGAGCGCGGAGCGCCGATCGCTGTCCGCACGCACGGGGTGTGACACGGGCAGCGAGGCCCTGCTGCGCCTGGGGTTTATTCCACAGCTGTCGCGGACCGGGGAAGATCGTGGGGTGCAGCCCCCGGCCCCAACAGCAAACATAACCGGGGGTCACGCGACCCCGGCGAGGAGACCGCCCAGTCTCCTCTGGAGGATTTCTAAGGTCGGCGATCCCACCCCCTCCGCGGGGGGGAAATCGCTCCGCAGTCCGGGTGCTAATCGCAAAGAGGTTTCGAGCCCAAATCGGTCTGGCGGCTGTGACTCCCCCTCGGGCGGGTGCTGCTCCCCGAGGCCTCGACGTCCTCGCGTCGCACGGCTCGCCCCGAGCGTGTCGGCGGCTGTCGCGGCCCCGGTCGCACCCGGTGCGG